AGCTAGACCCTGTCTCAAAAAAAAAAAAAAGAAAGAAAAAGAAAAGTGTGGGGTGAATGGATATGGGAGAGACCAGCACTGCAGAGAGAATTTGAGCAAAACGAGAAAAAGAGGATGAAAGCAAAAATAAAAGTACACACTGTAGCCAGGGATTTAGCTCAGTGGTTTTACCACCTGCTGCATAAGCACAAGGATCTGAGTTCGATCCCTGGTACCAAAAAAAAAAACAAACCAAAAAATGACCAAAAAAAAGTACACACTGTATCTGGAAAATGCAATGTGCCTATCATGAAAATTCATGATAGCAAGCTCCTGTAGCCTCCATGGCCTTCTTTCATGCCTTCCACATTTTGTGGGCACTCTGGAGAGTTCTACATACTGGGTCCTGGCATTGCCTTGGGATTTTTTTTTGAGACAGGGTCCCACTATGTAGTCCAGGCTGGCCTTGAACTCATTATGTAGCCCAGGCTGGCATCAAACTTGAGACAATCCCCTTGCCTCAGCCTCCCAAGTGCTGGGATTACAGGTGTGCTCCACCATGGCCAGCAAGTTCCATTTTTCTGTTTTTCTAAGTTTATATTTTTCTGAAATGGCATCACCTGTTCAAGGTTGTGGTAAATTCTACTTTCCTGTTAGGTTTTTATCTCTCAGAAATGATATAGCCTATCTGCCTGGAAGAGGAGTGCTGCAGTCTCTCCTTACACTCAAGTCTATTTCATTATCCAAAGGCACTTAGTCCATCTTTAAGAGATGCCAAAATCTCAATAGTTCCAACATTGCTGAAAAATCCATGTCCAAAGTCTCTTCTGAGACTCAAGGCAAACTCTTAGCTGTGAACCTCTGTAAAAATAAAAAACCAAATAAATACTTTCAATATACAATGGTACATAGTAAACATTTCCATTCCAAAAGAGAGAAATATGGGGCTAGGAAGGAATGGGACCAAAGCAAGACTGAAATTCAGCAGGGTAAACATTAAACCCTGTAGTTCCAATATCTGGCACCTGGGGCAGGTGGTGGTGAGATGTGAGCTCCAAAGGGACTGGCCATCTCCTACCCCTACAGCATTGCCAGTTGCAACCTTCATGGCTTCTGTCTTGAGGTGGCTCTGCTCAGTCTGCAGCCTTCCCTATAAGATGTTCCATGTTCCTGGCATCTCCAACTTCCTGGGCTTTCCACTATACTTTTGGCTTCATTCTCATAGGTTCATGCACTTCCCTCCCAGGGTCACACTCCCTGGCCTCCCAGGCCTCTTTCTGGAATGGTGGAAGCCAGTTACTTTACAACTTTTGCACTCTGGCATTCTCCATGACCATAAAACCACCAGAACACAGATGATACCACTGTCTGCTGCCATTTTGAGCAGTACCCAGGCCCTTTCAGATCATAGCTGTTGAGTCTTCTCAGTGCCTGGATGGTTGAGTGTTGTGAACCACATTCTGGAAAACCAGTTCCCTAGGCATCCCTTCTCAAACAGGGATATTTAGTGCTGTCTTCTCAAAGCAGTCTTTCAAAGAAGTTTACTTTTACCCCTTTGCCAGTGAACTGTAGGGTTTTGTTGATTCCCAAAGTGCCCTCAAGCCAGTTTTCCTACTGTCCTGATGCATAGTACTTGGTTTCTTTTGAGTGTTAATCTTTTTAACAACCATGGTCTTCTTTGCCCTGGCTTTGCAGATGCTTCTTTTCTAGCAAAATTGAAAAATTTTAGCCAGGCGTGGTGGCACACATCCATAATCCCAGCACTCAGGAGGCTGAAGCAGGAAGATCACTGAGTTTGAGGCTGGCCTGGACTACATAATAAGTTCAAGCAAGACCCACCTGAACTGCATAGTGAGACTCTGTCTCAAAAAAAAAAAAATCAATAAGATAAAATATATAAAACCTCCTTCTATAGTTTAAAAAAACTGAAAATTTTTATATAGGTTTTTTGTTCCTGATTCTCACTGTAAATCTGGCTAAAAGTCTCTAGTAGTACTCGTGCCACAGCCTGAATGTTGCCCTGCCTTAAAATTTCCTTGACCAGATTAATTAGTTCACTACCCTTAATTTCAGTCTCCTACAAAACCTCAGAACATGGGAAAATGTAGACAGATTTTTCCACTGGAGTATAACATACATGGCCTGTAGACCAACTTCCAGTGGAGTCCTTGTTCCCTGCTGAAACCTCCTGAGAATGGCCTTACTGCCTGCATTTCTATCAGCATTCTGATCTTCTGAGCTCTGACAAGAATCTCCTATCAAACTCAGTTTACATTATTCTAGGACTTCTCAAGCTGGCATCTCCAAACCTTTCCAAACTGCTGCCATGAACCAGTTTTAAAGGTTTCTGAACCACATGGTCAGGTATAGTTACAGCAACAACCCAACTCTGGTTCCAAAATTTGTGTTAGTCACATTCCTTGTTGCTGGGACAAAATACCCAAAACCCACATCTTAAAAGAAGAGGTTTATTTTGGGTTATGGTTTGACTGGCTGACTCCAAAAGCAGAAATGGAATGGTGGTGGAAGGGCCTGGACAGAGGAAATCTGCTGATAGAAATGCTGATAGAAATCTGCTGATTGGGGCTGGGGATTTAGCTCAGTGGTTCCGCTGCCTGCCTTCCAAGCACAAGGTCCCGAGTTTGATCCCTGGTACCAAAAAAAAAAAGAAAGAAAGAAAGAAATCCACTGATAGAAATTCCACAGCAGAATGCCTCTTCCAACCAGGCCTTACCTTCTAACAGCAAATTCAGCTATGAACTCATCAGTGAATTAATCCATTGATGAGTATAGTGACCACTTGATCCAGTAACCATCCAAAACCCCCACCTCTGAATATATGAGGCTTTTGGGGGACATTTTAGATCTCACCCATAACAGTAGGTCAAAAGGATATCTGTTCATTGTCCTTCCTGTATCAGTTAAGATTTCCCAGGTTCTTCCTATGCAAAGTAGTCTTAGATTTTATCCAGAATACATCTGATTTTAGATATGATACTATGGAACTATTTAAACTTGTATGTTGCTAGCTGGATGTGGTGGGGGATGGCTGTAATCCCAGGATTATAATCCTTGTAATCCCAGGAGGCAGAAGGATCACTGCAAGTTCAAGACCAGCCTGGGATACATAGTGAGTTCAGGGCCACCCTAGACTACAAAAGGAGCCCCTGCCTCAAAAAACCAAAAAATTAATTAATTTTTAAAACTTGTGTTTGATAATTTTTATTTTAGCAGATTATATGTTCAGTTGGAGTTAACTAGCTTTCTGTGGGTTGTAGTTTTCAGATTATATCAATTTAGAAAACCTTTGAGATGACATTTGGATCTTTCTTAAATGTGAACTATATAGTGGCCACCTGGTATCTTGGTAGCAGTCTTCATTATCTGTCCGCAGTCTTTTCATACTCATGCAAGAACAGCTCAGTGTGAGCCTGAGTTGCAGAGTGATTTTCTAAACTCATTCCTCTCCACAATCTTCACGTCACTCTCAGACCTTCTCTTCTGGTTTTCTGGAAACAAAACTTAGACTTCAGTTCCTGCAGTCCTGGGCATTTTGTGTGTCTGAGTCTGTGTCTGTGCCAAGTACCAAGAATTCAGAAAGTAACAAAAGTAATGGGAGTAAGTGCCGCTCTTGGGAAATCAGCTCCTCAAATGAGAAAGGAATGTTTCTATTAGCTCCACAGTCACTTCTGTGCCCACAGAATTTCCTGGATTCTGGATGATATAGGATGGAGAGTATAACAGTCATAAATAAAGGAAAATGAGAACATTACAAAGTTGCTCAGAGTATTAGGAGTTCCCTTTATCTTCTTCAAACAGAAGAGTTGGGCTCCTTCTGGAATTCTATCTGCCTTCTTGTGCCCCTTCTAAGTCCCAGGCTGCTTTGATTTCCTCC